AAAAAAAAAAAAAAAAAGAGTATATTTTCACTATCATGGACCAAATCAAGGAAAGGTAAATGAATAAAATTTACTTATTTTGTACCAAATAAGCACACATCTTGATTGATTCACTTTTTTTTTTTAAAAAAAATTTTTGGTAGTTGTGGAGAAAAAGTCATGACTGTTGATGTAGATGAAGCTAAACATCTACTTATAAATCAAGGCTACAGCTGTCTTGATGTCAGGTATGTGTATATATCGTTTTTCGTGCAAATGCACGGGTAAAACTAGTTGAAATTAGTATTATGTGTTTATTTTACTACTTGTTTAGGAATATAAATTCCTCTTAATGTACCTTTTTAATATTATATATTAATTAAAAATAGGACGGCGGAAGAATTCAAAGAGGGTCACTTGGAGAATTCTTTGAACATTCCCTACATGTTTAGTACTCCAGAAGGTGGTGGTGGTGGCATTTTTATTTTAATTTTTTCATTTAATATTACTTATATTTTTGTATATGGAATATTCCCAATTCAATTTTGTCGGGGAGTCATCGGATGGCTCGACTTATGGAGTCATCCACACTTATTCACTATTAGTGTATTGACACGTGTCCTGCAACAAATACAATTTGAATATGTGTCAATAGATTAAAAGGTGGAGGGCTCCGTAAAAAAAACCATCCGATGGTTCCGTATAATTTTTGTATTTCAATTTGTATTGGGTCTCAATCTTGGGATCATTCAATCTCCAGGCAGGGTGAAAAATCCCAGATTTTTGGTTCAAGTTTTGGTCCTTTTTGGCAAGGAAGATCATGTTGTTTTGGTAAATATTATAATTATCACTATTATTATTTCCACTACTGAATTCATGTTCCTAATTATTTTTATAAATGTTTATTGAAAGTAGTTTTAACTTAATGCAATTTCAATTTTCAGGTTTGTCGGAGTGGTGCCCGGTCGGAATCTGCTGCTATCGATCTTCTTAACGCTGTAAGTTTCTTTTGGTCGTCCATAATTGTGTGGTTAGATGCAATACAATGAAATAAAGAGAAATGCTATAAGTATATAATATTATACGTAGAGTTATATATAACACTCACATTAAGTGGGTCATACTAAAATTAAAAAAATCAAGGTGGGGTACACTTAATGTGAGTGTTATGTACACATTTATTTATATTTGTTACGTACTTGTAGTATTTTTCTTAAAAAACATGAAATCAAATTTACTAAATACATAATTGTACCAAAAAATTCAGCCAACAATAAAAATAATGCAGTCAAATTCCTATTGCAAAAGCAACAAATTTTGGGCCATTTACTTCAATGAACCGGTCCATTTTTTTCTTCACTAAAACGGGTCCATTAAAATGAACCCATAAAAATTACAATTTGGGCCGAATAAACAAAAAATATCTAACCCAAATCAGTTCCAATGCCCCATTTTTTTTTAATACACTTGATCGAACAATAAGCAATTAGGGACATTAGAGTAATTCAAATAAATAAGTAACAGAGTCTTATAGATGACACCAGATTTGAAGCAAATTTTCCATAGAAAATTTGTACCATAAATAGGTATTTCAAATATGTACCATACGTATTTAAACACGTGAAGATTAAAAGTCATTCAAAATTTGAATTTAAATCGATTTTCCAAAATAAGTAAGTCAAATGACTCATTTTTTTTCATGAATTTTTCACAAAATGATTTTTCCATCAACCTCTTCTTAATATATATATATATAGATATAGATTATAAACTTTTATCATATCTAAAACTCCATTGCAATATAAAATGTTTTGTTAGGACTTCAAGCATGTGTACAACATGGGAGGAGGATATATTGCGTGGGTTGGAAAGGGATTTCCAGTTAACAAACCACATCATGCCGAGCTGTAGCTGCCAAAAAAAAAAAGATGTATATTTATTAATTTGTATGAGATAACCAAATATTTTGTTGAGCTTTGATCTATTCCACTTTGATTTGAATGAAAGGTAATTAAGAAAAATTGGAGATTTCGTCGTCCTGTAAGTGGTACCAATTTTAGTTTTGGTCCTCTAAGTGGACAACTTAGTTTTGGTCCTCTAAGTGGACAACTTTTATAAAACGTCCGTAAGTGCAAATTTTAGTTTTGGTCCTCTAAGTGGACAACTTTTATAAAATGTCCCGTAAGTGCAAAAAAACCGGCTAAAGCGGGTAATTTGGGGGTTTCGAACCCGGGTTGCAAAGCAGCCCAATTATCTCATAAGCCACTTGGTCTAACACAACTTTAGTTACATATTTGACTTCACTTTTATATGAATCAAAAATTTTTTATCCAAACACAATATGTATATATATATATATATATATACTTAATTTTTAAATAAATTATATAATATATTTAATATATAAATAAAATAATGAATATATTAAATAACTAAATAAATATATTAAAGTCAATTGATAATAAATTAATATATATTAAATAAATAATTAATAAATATATTTAATTAACTTTTATTTGTATACTAAATAAATATATTTAATAGTTAATAAATAAATATATTTAATATACATATATATATATATTATATTAATTAAATATTTACTAAATAATATAATTTTTAAATAAATTATATAATATATTTAATATATAAATAAAATAATGAATATATTAAATAACTAAATAAATATATTAAAGTCAATTGATATTAAATTAATATATATTAAATAAATAATCAATAAATATATTTCATTTAATTAAATAGTCACTAAATAAATATTAAATATAATTAATTAACTTTTATTTGTATACTAAATAAATATATTTAATATATATATTATATTAATTAAATATTTATTAAATAATAAATATTTTATAAAATTTATTAAATACATATATTAATAAATAAATATATTGAATAATATTTATCTATTAATAAAATATATATTTATTATTTATTAATTAATAATATTTATTAATTAATTATCATTTATTAATTAATAAATATTTATTTAACTAATAAATTTTTTTATTAATAACATTATATTAATGAATGTATAATATATTTATTAATTACATTAGTTGATATATTTTTATATGTTAAAATAAATATATTTAATAATATAAAAATAAATATAATAAATATATTTAATATATGTTTAATAATATAATAAATAATATAATATATAAATATATTTAATAAATATAATTTTTTTAGTATATTTAGTATATAATTATTTATAAAGATTATATATGTATATTAAATATATTTATTATATCTATTTATTATATTATTAATTATATTTATTTTGTATACAAATAAAATTTAATTAAATATATTTAATGTAAATATTTAATTAAATGAAAAATTTATTTATTAATTATTTGTTTAATATATTAATTTAATATCAATTTCCTTTAATATATTATATAAAATATTATATATTTAATATTTAAATAAATATATTAAATAGTTTATTAAATATATTTATTTATTAAATTATTTGATATATTTATATATGTTAAAATAAATATATTTAATAATACAATAAATAAATATAATAAAATATATTTAATATATATTTAATAAATAATATAATAAATAAATATAATAAATATTTTTAATAAATATAATTTATTATGTAATATATTTAATATATAAATATATTAATTATGTAACATATTTAAAATAATAAATATAATTTATTTCTGTAATATATTATATATTTAAATATCTTATCTTATTTAAATAAATAGAGTTATTTATATATTACATATATTACATAATTTATTAAAAAATCAAGTATAAATATATATATATATATATATATATATATTGTTTTTGGATAAAACATTTTGATTGATATAAAAATGAAGTCAAATATACAATTAAAGTTTTGTTAGGTCAAGTGGCTAGTGTGGTCATTTGAGTGCCTTGCACCCTGGGTTCGAACTTCCATCTCTACATATTTTTTGCAATTATCCACATATCTGCCACCCACATATCTGCCACGTCAGCATTACACATCATCAAAAAAAATCAAATCAGCTAAAAGTTCCACGTAGGGTAACAGCTAAATGTCAGGTTTTTTTGCACTTATGGGACGTTATAAAAAAGTTGTCCACTTAGAGGACCAAACCTAAAATTGGTGCCACTTACAGGACGAAATCTCTAATTTTTCCAGTAATCTTATTTTCACCAGTAAAACCATCTATTAAAATATTGTCAAAATAAAATTTGAAAAAAATATAGATATTAAAGATTGTTGGTCTGTATGCTATCTATACATTAATTTCATCTTCAAGGAACTAGCTAGTTGTACTTGATTCCTTTGAGCCTCCACAAAGATATCAGATCAATATTGTTTTTTCACAGTAATATAACTAAATTTTAAATGTTGTGGATAGATCAAAGGAAAATAAGATCATACTCAATTCAATGTAATATATTAAAAACATGAGTCTAAGAGAATATGTAACTATATATAAGATGTTTTATTTAAATAATAGTTTATAGAGATACTAGACACATGTCTAAAAATATATTCAAATGAAGACTTATATACATTTTTACTTGCCATATCATCTCAATTTTTTTTTTTGGCATTTTAAAATAATTTTTTATATAAAAATTTTAAAATTCTATATGACGCTAAATATTTTTCTAAATAGACTCAATTCAATTGGATACGTCAACAAAAAACTAAGACCCATTGCTGCAACTTATCTTATAGTTCAATTCAATTGCATAGGGATACAATCAATAATGTTTGCAAATTGTCTTGCACAATCTTATTCACCCTAGGACAAATGACACTATTCTTACACTTCTTGATAGCACTCTCTCTGACCTTTTGCATTTTTTTCCATCAACGACAACTGAATAATTTCCAGCAAAGTGAGAATAGGCTTCTGTCTAACCTAAAAAATGTTTCCAATAAAGGTTTCTCAAACATTTTTTAACAGCATGTCTGACTTAGCCATTGTGATGAAATGAGACCTACTCCATTGAGAAGGAAGCTTGTCTTAAATCAAGTCATAGGCCTTCTCATCTAGTTGTCTCAGCTCAGACATCCTCCTTAAAAGATAATTTACAGTTGTGACCTTTCTTGCCCTCCACAACATTTAGAAAGACTTCCTTGCATGCTTGGATAAGACCGTTCTGCTTGTCAGACATGAAACACCATTCATAGTCAACTTTAATTCCAAGATCAGTCTTCAACAACCCCAAGAACTAACCTCATGATTCGCCATTTTTTATTTCAACAACAACGTAATAAATAAGAAAAATATTGTTGTTCGGATTCAAACCCACAGCTATTAATAGAACTATACCTTGTGCACTCTTTATATGACACTTATCCACTCCAATAATCCTTTTGCACCATTTAGAGGACCCATCTATAGTGCAACAAAACAAATATAAATCCTCTCAAATGTTTGATCATGGTGCAACCTAATTAACATAGTTGTATCAGGGTTAGATCTCCTGACGTCATTTCCATATTCCCATAACACTGTGTATTGTTCCTCTAAGCTTCCTTTTAGCTTCTCCAAAGCAAGTTTTTTGCCTCCATGCCTGAAAGAGGGTGACATTACACCTGAGACTCTGCACACAATCAACTCTGAATCCTTTAGATTTTCTTGTAGGATCTGGCTGGAACTTATGGAAATATCTTCAGCTAATCAAATTGAATTAAGATTTTTGACATTCATTGTCATTGGACATGAATATTTGGAGACATATTCTCAGATTTTATATGTACTTCAATCATGAACCTTTATTGCATGCAACCTCCAACCACATTCATGCTCGACACACTTAGCATGCAATCAGATGGTGTCATCTTTAGTTATTTTCATATTTCTTTTCTAACTAATTGAATCTCAGTGAAATGCCATTTTGATTTCTTTCTTTGTGCTAAAAGCCATTTCAAGCTTCAATCTTGTATTGTACAATTGAATTGGATTGAACAGCGAAACAACCTCCTTGTTCAGCTCCTTATCAGAGTCCTTCCCAGGGTAGTGGTCATCCTCACTTTTCACCACATCAGCATCACCTAATTCACCTTCTCAGAATCTGAAACATGGACATGGGTATTATGATTACACCACTGCATCTCAGAGTCTATGTGTTCTGTGAAAATAATAACACCATCTTCATTATCACATTCTTTTTTTGCTCTAAGTCCGGGTCTTCACTATTATCACTCTCACTACTACCATCTCCCTCATCATCTTTACCTCACAGCTCAGTTTCATAGTCCCTTTTTTGACACAACCCACTAACCTTAACTCCCAACTCAGTTTCAGAGTCCCTTCTTTGACACTGCCCACTAACCTTAACTCTCAACTCAGCCTCATAGTCATAATTTGCCAGTGATTAATCATTTATTTTCCAATCATTAAAGTCAAATTCACATGTGCACTTAGCCCTATTATCAAAATTAAAAATAACCTCTCTAGAACCATTTACAACTCTTTTACTCAAAACAACTAATTCCTCATCATTTTATTTTTAAATGCCTAAAAAGCCAATAAGTAATGTTCCCCTCCAATTTCTCTCTTGTTGTAAGCCCGTAAAGTGCTTATAAAGAACAAAAACTTGGCACGGGTTGCAAGTCTTTATTGGTTAAATTGCATCTAATTCTAAACATTCTATGGTGCCATATGGGCACCATAAGCCATCCACAATATAATGTGACATATAATGCGGCTTTCCAACATGGATATTAGGTGATACTTTAATGCAAGTTTAGAAGTACTTTAAATTTAAAAGCAAAAAAACTGTCTCTCCAATTTCTCTCTTCTGCCCATAAACCCTCCATCATTAAAAAAAAAATGGAAACAATTTACAACTCAGCAAGCCGGTCACAATGACCGGCTTTTCACAGTGTAAGGATAAAATATCAAGTGTCTTTTGCAGTTACGAGGTGTTTTCCAAAATCGACCAATTTGCAGCACCAAACCTCAGTTAGGTGTTAGTTAGATGACTAAAATCTCTAATTTTTCAACAACATAACATCCCCCTCCCCCTATATATTAATCCAGAACGCGTTGAGCCTACGTGGCTGCTTCTGTGCTTCGGAATCCTATGTGGCAAAATTACATGCTTTGTTATTAGACTTGGGTAAATTTTAATTTAATTCCAAATCAAGAATAATTAGGTTCGGATTACGATAAGTATGTTGATTATTTATGATCATGTTACATGTATTAATTGCATTTTAATATCATTCCTTATTATAACTATTGAATGTATATATATTTTAAAAGGTAATAACTTTTGTATTTTTTATCAGTTTTACATATGTAATATATCAAATTAATCTTTTTTTGACGAGCTTCGATTTAACATCCATATTGTATGTATAAAAAAAATAATTTATATTTGTCTTTATAACAATAATAAAATTATTTATAATATTAATTAGAAAAATAAAATTATCTATCAACTAATATATTTATATTTCAAGTAGTTATATGAATAAGTTATAAAAACTAATATAATATAACACATGTAAGTCATAAGTAACACATATCATTCTAAAATATATAGTAATATTTTTTTTGTAAAAAAGTAAACTAAATTTAATATAATTTTCTCATTAATTTTAAAATTTAAGAATAATTTTTTAACAAGTACTCGTGTAATACACGAGTGTTGTACTAGTTAGTGATTTACAAATCATTACTACCTAGTCCATACCGCAAATCCAACCTGCCAGCCTGGTCAACAAAGTTTAAAACTAGGAACAAAATTTCCACACAACATTCCTTGTGGTTCTACCCGGCTCGATTCCAGATTAGTCGGTTCTCCTGTAGATCCGGAAATCGGAAGGTCCTGTACCAAAAAAAAAAAAAAAAAAAAAAAAAAA